CCCGACTTCCCGCATCTGCCCTCACAAAGCACAGGTTTCCTGGACGCTCAGCTGAGGTTCCCTCCGTGGTCTTCACCTTCATGGGCACCTTTAAGAGTGTGGATTTCCCACCCTTAGATGAGGCTTGGGAGACTGGGAGAGGCGAGGGTTTGCCCAGGGTCACACTGCAAGGGGTAAAGAGCGTAGGCCTCACCTACCCTGCACCTCGTTTTTCACGTCTTTTTTTTTTTTTTAAAGATTTATGCATTCATTCATACAGCACTGGGGTACAGGCCAGAGGAGCTGCGAGGGGTGAGAGGGTTCCCCAGAGACAGAGTGGGGAGCAGAACAGGCAGATCCACTGAAACACACTGCTGAGGGGCGCAGTGGGGGCGCAGGAGGGGTCTGGGGGTGCTTCCCTGGCCGGGGAGCCAACTAGAGGGTGCTGAGTGGCTGCCGATAGCTTTAAGCGCTGAGACTCAATCCCTGGGCCACGAGGGAGGGCCTCACTTCTCTCACTTCCTGAAGACGGCTCCGTCTGTCACTGTGCGGGCTTCACCTCCTTTGTCGAACAGCCCCGAGGGGCTTCTCTGCCGTGGGGAAGGGTCCGTTTGCCCTTGGCTGCAAGCGCAGAGCTGAGTACCCCTGTTGTGCAGCTCTTTGAACTCAGATGTGAGTGTTATCTGAAGGCTAAATTCCTAGAGTTGGAGTTCCTGGGTCAGAGGGCACATGCCAGGCTGTGACTGCAGCACGGAAGTGAGTTTGGACTGGTGCGTTTGGAGAGGATGGAGAGGGCATTCCTGGCAGAGGGGCCACGCGGGCAGGGGCACCGAGGTGTCAGGCAGGCTCACCCCAAATGCTTCAGTGTCACAGTACAGCGATGCCAGTTGTGCCCTGCGGAATCTGGCTCTGGTGTCTCCTGTGCCAGGCTGGACTCTGTCCTGGGGCACAGGGAGCCCTTGGAGGGACTATGAACAAGGGAGGGGCAGTGGCAGCTCTAGGACTCTGCTGGGAATACGATGAGGGAGGAGCTGGAGGCAGGGAGGCCAGGGTGGAAGCAGAGGCAGGGAGAAGGCCAGAGGCAGGAAGGCCAGAGGCAGGGAGGCCAGGCTGGAGGCAGGGAGGCCAGGG